ACCAAGACAGGTAGCGAGGCACGCAGACAGGTAGGGGCAGGCATTGAAGCAGGCACTCATACAAGCAGTCAGTCAGGCAGACAGTGGAGGCAGGGAGCGAGGCAAGGCAGGGGCAGTTCGAGGCCAGTATCAGGCATGCAGGCGCGTAATATCGGCGGAGGTACAGGTAGACATGATGCAGTCCAGGGCAGGTACAGTGAGGGCAGGGAGCGCAGGGCATGGCAGGCCAGCGAGAACAGTCAGGCAATGCAGGCCTACACCGAAGGTACGGTGAGGCGCACAATGATCAGTTTCGGCAGGACAGTGGAGCGAGGGACGTCTCTCAAGGGCAGGCAGGCAGCGAGGCAGTCAGGCATGCAGGCCTATACCGAGGTAGGTAGGCATGATCAGTCAGGCAGACAGCGAGACTGGCAGCGACACCAAGACAAGTGAGTGGGACTGAGGAGGAAAATGGCTTAAACACGGAATTAAGGCAGGTGATTGTGCGGCTGAGGAGGAAGCTAAACGGGTTCAAGAACAGGTGTGGCGAGCTGAAGAGAGGAAAGCTAACAGGCGTATAAGACATGTCGGGTGAGACTGAGGAGTGAAGCTAACGGTTGAGTGACAGGGTGGGGTGCGAAAGCTGAAGGAGAAGCTAAAACGGGTTCAGAGCAAGCGGTTTCTATTGCCTTGAGATCTGGTCGAGGACCGTATTGCTTGATGGCAGGAGCCCAGCTCCTTCTCTCCTGCGCCATCACTCGGCCGCCAGCAGCAGCCCCGTCTCATCCTTCCGTACAGTGTCCAAGCTCGCATTGCGGCTGCTAACAAACAAACAGGGTCACAACTGAACGGTTAACAACGACGACAGACACGATGGATGAATGCATGGCAATGGCGTGAAGCCCACGTTAGAGGGCAATTGACACCAGGGTTGAAGCAAAGGGACAGCGACCATGACAACACTCGCACGGCCTAACAACAACAACAACGATAGACAACGCGTCAGCACACAAGTTAGAGGGCATGACAACAGGCTTGAAACAAGGGAACAGACCAGTACACAACTCCCACGGCTCACAACAACAACAACGGATGAACAACCTGTGAGCGCACGTTAGAGGGCATCGGACAGGCTTGAACAGAGGAAACCGAACCATGGCCACACAAAACTCCCAGGCTAAAACAACCAACAACGACTGAGCAAGCAAGCGAGTGAGCACGTAGACGGGATGACACAGGAGCTTAACAAGGGAAGCGAGCCATACACAACTCGGCCGCTAAACAAACAAGCAAACAACGAATGACAAACGCGTGAGCCACGTTGGGACGGGGGAGGGGGGTGGGGGGGGGGAGGAGAAGGGAGAATGACAGCAAGGGCTTGAACAAGAGAAACCCGAACCATACACACATCCCGCTAACAACAACAAACACGATGAAAAACCGTGAGCCAACGTTAGAGGGCTGAACACTGGGCTTGACAAGAGAACGACCATACACAACTGGCCGCGGGCTAACAACAACAACTAACGATGACAAACGACGATGAGCCACGTTAGAAGGGCATGAACAGGGCTTGACAACAAGGGAAAGCGACCAATCACAACTCCACGCTAAACAACCAAAACAACGATGAACAACGCGTCAGCCCACGTTCAGAGGCAAATGCACAGGGCTTGAAAAAGGGAACGGACCATACATCAACTCCCTGAGCTAATACAACAACAACAAGATGACAACGCGTGAGGCCACACGTTAGAGGGCATGACACAGGGCTTGAAAACAAGGGAAACGACCATGAAAAAACACAAACTCCCGGCTAACAACAACAAGCAACGGATGACAAACCGCGTGAGCCACGTTAGAGGGCATGGACACAGGGCTTAAACAAGGGAACAGACCATACACAAACTGCCCGCTAACACCAACGACGGACGAACAACGATGAGCAACGCGTGAGGCAAGCAATAATGTCGTAAACGAGGTTGTATAGAGGCTCGTGACAGACTGGAGAGGGGGTAACCAGGGGAGCGAGCATTATGCCCGCACGGTTACCTAACAGATGCTGACTAACAAATGCGCAAGCCGACGGATTGCGAGGGTGCGACAAGGCCAAAGATAGAGTGGTAACCAGGGAAGCGAGGCGCACACAACGCAACGGGTAAAACGACAACAACAAGCAACAAACGAAGATGACAACCGCACGAGCTGTAATAATAGAGAAGACGAAGGAAGGCGAGTACAACCACACATGTGGGCACGAGCGAGACCGGCCACTGGCGGCTTGGGACCAGGTGTTAATGTCAGGATACTTATGAGAGTGACGAAGCCAAAACCACAACCAAGGCAGTACTGAGCACTACCAGCCCTCACCGACCATGATACGCACCGTGCCTCCCAGCGCCTAACGCGCCAGCAACCAACCCACACACCAAGACGTACGCCCCGCCTAATACCACCATTAGATGCCACGCAAAGCAATCAGCGCAATCGACTTCCGCACCGCGAACGGAACTGCACCGCCGCACCTTGACGAACACCCACCCCGCACACACCGCGCGTGACTTGTTGTGGGCGGGGCAAGTAACATAGAGCACACGAACCGACGCGATGACCATAGTGCGTGCGATCACAGCCCACCCACTCCAGCAAGGTATGCATAAATCCCACACAGCGCAGACACAGCGCATATATGCAGCCGAGTTAAACAAAATCACCACGGTGTCTTTGGCAGAAATACTGGGTCACGACTGCGACATTATGTTTAAAGGTTCGATTTTGCGTAGCAAGCAAGCAATAAAAATAATACAAGCAAGGCAGCGGCAAGGCCTGCACGCAATCGACACGACGGGCTAGAATCAAATACGAGCCATTCGTTCAACTTTCCATCGTATGGCCCGTGTACAACAAGACAGAAAACACCACAAGACACACACGCACGCGACGCACGCACGCACGAAGCGCACGCACAGACGCCACGCACGCACCAGCACACACACACACCACATCGCCCGCAACGCAACACCACAACGCACACACCACACACGCGACGAGCGAAGTGCACGGGGAGGACGCCTTTGGAGTAGCGACCCGCACAGCACACACACGAGCCACAACGCACGCACACAGACGATGGCCACGCACGCACGCACACACACACAGCGAGCAGGCGGCTCTAGCAACAACACTGGCAACACGCCGCCATTACTCCCACTTCAGATGATTTTCATTGCAGCCGCATCCACGCGCACGCACCTAAATCTTCAACGACGGGGCCGAACGTTGGCTTCAGAATCAAGATCACGCTGCGGCCGCACCAAACCTTATATCAGTACCCCATTGTCCGCATTCACATGCCAGCAAACAGCAGCAACCAGGCGAGCAGATCAGCAGTGACAACAACACACCACGCACCGGGAAGACCGTATCGGTCAGCGAAAACTAGGCAGCACACAGGCAGTAGCCAGACAGGCCACGCAACCTCCCCCCCGCTGCCCCTCATCATGCAGATCAATAGTGGAAGCAAGTGAATCTTTGCTCTCGCTTTCTCTTCTTCCGCTCTCAGCAGTCACTTCGGTGCGACGCTACACACACCAACGCGTCACACCACGCACAACAAGCAATACACACGCCGCTATCGTCTCTCTCATTCTCGTCTGCGCCTCGATCGTTCTGCGGTCTACCGACGCTGCCTCCCCTACACCTTCACTGCTACGCTATAGATCAATACGCTGCTGTGGCAGCGCGATGTTCACACCCACGTGAATACACACTGGCTGTCCTGGCCATTGATTGCTGGACCGTTATATGAACGCGCTCTCGCTCTAGCGCGCGTGGCAATGCGAGCGCCAATCCGACCGTCTGCCAAACCCACACGCACATCCTACACACGCACGGCACGCACGCAACGCAAACACAACGCTCGGCTTGACCCACATCTGCGGGATAGTGGCGCGATAATATATATATATAGATAGTAGATGGTAATCAGGGATCTAAGCCTTTTCCTATCCCCACAATACGCGATCCCTATTATGCTACTTCTGCATATAATTATAGATGTATAACTACATATATAGTATTTTATATAATAATAATGTAATAATATATGGGAGAGAGAGCGCGCGCACGAACAGAGTGAGAAAGAGAAGAGCGGCGCGCGCGCGCGGAGAAGCAGCAGAAGAGAGAGAAGAGAGAAGAGAGAGAGATATGAGAGAGAGATAAGAGAGATATATTAACGTAACTATATATATAGAGAGAAGAAGAGAGAAGAGAAAGAGAGAGGCAGGAGAGAGAGAGAGACGGGGAACCAAGTAAATTCACAGCGTACCAGAATCAGCATATAAGCGCGCAGCCGTCGCGTTGAGCTGCGAGCGTCTGGCCATCGCTCACCTCCTCGCTCGACTCCTCCTCGCTCACCGAGCACTAACGAGCACCGACGCGCACGACCTTAGACACGGACGCACGCACTCAAACGTAACACCGCGAGCAGGCGGTTGACCTTCACTGGCAGCTCAATTTACAAACACGGCTCACGCGCGAGCCACTATTCGGCCCGCCCCGCAGTGTGTGATCAATAGATTCGGTGAAGGCAGCAGCTGCTGATGCCTGCCTGCTGATGCTGCTGCTGCTTCCCCAAGCGGCCACCGCCTGATCGATATAACAACATGGAGCCGCAGATAGCCTCTTCCCTGCTGCCGGGTTGCCGGAGGGCAACCGGACAAGCGCGATGCCCGGAAACGCTGCCACCCCAAGGGCCGATAGGCACGCAGCAAGGTAGCACAACAAACTAGCGACACACACACACGCACGCACGCACGCACGCGCAGACGGGACAACGCGAGAGCGTAAGCATAGGTTGATGTGGGAAAATATTGATTTTTGGGATGGGCCATTCGCAGAACAACAGTTCTGCTAATAGGCAACAGGTGGCACTGTCAACATATGAGCAGCTGTCGTTATATATAATTGGCTGGGGACTGGCTAATATCAATTATAAACAAGATTAGTAAGTGCTCATGTAGTAAGGAATATCTGCTCATCTATGTGCGCTAAATTATATATACTAACCGGTATTTACAACTCATTGTATGCCAACATTTACATAGCAACCAGTATTCAAAAACCTTTACGTTATTATTACCTGTATGAGTATGTATGTAATAGTCTAAAAACAGAAACGAATACATACAACCTGTAACCTATAATGTAGTAACCTGCATGACTTAAATGACACTAGCAGAAATCTACAATGCTGTATTTATAACACAACAACGTCAGTATCACAGTACATCTACTCTACGCAGGGTAAACAGGAGACAGCATAAAGAACAACAGCACATACATATTTTACGATCCAATTCACACGTTTTGAAGTAGTATACCCACTACTTCATCATAGACTCACTGCAGCATTACTAATATACACTAGTTAATACTTATATATATAGTACAGTCAACTCTCAATTAATATGGCACCTCGTGAAAAATGAAAGGGGGCAGTGGGCATCACCAGACAGAAATTTTCATTACATACAAATACCATTCTATGTGGCGAAATAATCGAAAGACTGACTCAAACCTATTGCTACTCTGATACAAAGAGCAGTGGTTACGAAAATCGATGAAGTGGTCCCACGTTATAACATTTAACTTTATCTTAACTCAAACAAGATATACATAGTGCCAGACACACGAGTATAACGGTGGAAGCTCAGTTAAGAAGTTCAGTTTAAGTTACCTGTTGTTGTTATACACTGTGCCACGGTATCGTATTCTATCCGCTCACTGTGAAAGTCGCCAATAAATAGTGATAAGTAATGCACAGCTTAGTAGTTCTACTTGTGTAAGTAATACCACCATCTTTGCCCTGCTATGTATGAACCTACTGCATAGGGCTAACTAATACTCAACTAATAGTACCTTTACATCTTTTCCCTATTATGTATGAAACTATACTGCACAGGGGTAACCAATACTACAACTACTAGTACCTTTGCAACTTTGCCGTACTATGTATATACTATGTAGGGGTAACTAATACTACAACTATTAGTACCTTCACATCTTTTCCCTACTATGTATGAAACTACTACTGCATCCAGAGAGACATGATACAAGATTGCGTGGCACAGCTTTGCTGTTGATCCTAAGCGCTGCACGCGGATGAGACGCGCAGTTCCGCGGGATATGCGCACGCGACCGCGGGGAATAAGACAGGTGTGTGCGGCTGAGGAGGAAGCTAATGGGTTAAGGCAAGTGTGTGCGGCTGAGGAGAAAGGTAACGGGTTAAGTAGGTGGGGTGGAGGCTGAGGAGGAAGCTAACGGGTTGATACAGGTGTGTGCGGCTGAGGAGGAAGCTAACGGGTTAAGACAGCTGGGGTGGAAACTGAGGAGGAAGCTAACGGGTTAAGAGCGAACGGTTTCTTTCCTTGAGATCGGCGAGCCGTATGCTGATGGAGAGCCGCTCCTTCCTCCTCGCATCACTCGGCGCCAGCAGCAGCCCCGTCTCATCCTCCGACGTGTCCGGCTCATTGCGCTGCTCAAACAAACAGTCACAACGAACGGTTAACAACGACGACGACGATGATGATGATGATGGCAATGCGTGAGCCACGTTAAAGGGCTTGACACAGGGCTTGAACAAGGGAACGTCCATACACAACGCCCGGCTAACAACAACGACGACGACGACAATGCGTGAGCCACGTTAGAGGGCATGACACAGGGCTTGAACAAGGGAACGACCATACACAACGCCCGGCTAACAACAACGACGACGACGACAATGCGTGAGCCACGTTAGAGGGCATGACACAGGGCTTGAACAAGGGAACGACCATACACAACTCCCGGCTAACAACAACAACAACGATGACAACGCGTGAGCCACGTTAGAGGGCATGACACAGGGCTTGAACAAGGGAACGACCATACACAACTCCCGGCTAACAACAACAACGATGACAACGCGTGAGCCTTGTTAGAGGGCTTGACACAGGGCTTGAACAAGAGAACGACCATACACAACGCCCGGCTAACAACAACAACGATGACAACGCGTGAGCCTTGTTAGAGGGCATGACACAGGGCTTGAACAAGGGAACGACCATACACAACGCCCGGCTAACAACAAC